CCAACTGATCAGTTTTGTCACCTCTTACAACCAGCACAGGTTGCTGAAGACATTCTCACTTTGTATACATGTATGTTTCCAACAGAAACTGTCTGGGAATTCTGATTTAACAGGATCCTGATTATTGAGGTTTTTATATATCTTGGGTGAGGCAGTATATCAGGGGCGGTTGGGTAGCCTAGTGGTTAAAGCGTTCTCTCACCTCCCCGAAGACCCAAGTTCGATTCCCACATGGGTTCAGTGTGTGAAGCCCATTTCTGGTGTCCCCCGCCGTGATATTGCTGGAATATTGCCAAAAGCAGTGTAAAAATGGTACTCACTCACTCAACATTTATTAAAACTTATGTTATTTTTACCTTTACAGAAGGAGATATATTTTGACGAAAATTTTGTTTTCTAAACAAGCCAACTACATTTATATGACATAAAACATAACATAAGTTAGACCAAGTCCAAAACATTACTTCTAACAAGGCATGATATCAACTTGATGATTCTCCCCTGGGGTTTCCTTGTGACTTCACTGTAAATATGTTTCAGCTTCCCGTGTACATTGTCTTAAGTCTTTGATAGGCATCAGGAAAATTCAGCTGACGAAGGGGGGCAAGAAGTAGTTCTGAAATGTCATGACAAAGTATATAAGAAGTTATTGTCAATAAGAGTGTCATGTATTCATATATCGTAGCATCTCAGTTGTTACATATTGTAATAACTTATGTTATTTAACATTTTTTATATCTTGTAACAATTTAATGTCATGTTTAAACAATAGATCAATTTGGTCACACCCTCTCCAAATCACTGGATCAACCAAGCCTTAAACCATAGCAACAGAATCTGGTTGGGATAAACTGAAATGTGTTTATAGTTTGAAGCACTGGTGGCTTGAATCACATGACAGCTGACAGAGGCAGACAGCACTTGTGCTTCTTGTGCTTAACACCATCTCCTGCAATCCCATCTAATCTACAGCACTTATTTATTACATAAACCTAGCCCTTCTTCTCAGGCTTGTTTCCTTTGTCGTGGCTAATTGGAGGTGATCCAACTTGTCAATGATCGCAGTTCGACACCTTGCCACTGTTGACCAACTCTCCATGCATACACTGTAGCAATTATACCATTATGCAACCAGGGACATCAAAGACTCAGGTGAGCTCTGGTGAACAGGTGAGAGATATTTACTGTTGCGTTGGACAGGTGAGAGACAGGTATTTACTAACGACAGGTGAAAATACAGGTACATGTACTTCCTATAACTCACACTAGGTAGATATTATACTTCAGATTACGTGAATGTATTGTAGTTGTTCTCATTGATTTCTGCTGCAGGTGTAAATGACAGGTAGATTGATGGCGCGATGATAGTTCAAGGTGTGAGAAATATATGAATGAACGTCACGACTGTGGTTTGTTTGTTGTGAGTCACATGATGTATGTTTACTCACGTAAGACGCAGAAGTGTCTTGGATGTGACGTAAGATGTTAATGTGGTGTGGACCCTCTATCCTGGGAACACACAGTGTGTTGTGAGGAGTGGGATTCTATCTGCAGTGTGAGGTACTCTTTCACGATTTATACCAACTACATATATCCTTACATATTCTAACTTTTTTATTCAATTGTTCTTTTATATTAACATTACTGGAGGTGTATTATTTTATTTTATTTCTTTCTCTCTATCTTTTATTCATCCTTTCAATAAGGCGTACAATTGTTTCATATTTTGCAATCTTCGTTTGTTCCGTTTTTCCTGTATAGAAATAGGCCAGTTACAGTGTACTTAAGTACATGTGCAATGTGTCATGGTACTAGTGTTGTATAAAACTGATACATGATGTTAAGGTGACATATTAAATGGTAAGAATTTGTATGAGGAACCATATTTATGCCAGTATGACTGACTTCTCTAGCCATTGTTCTAATTAATTTATGTTTGTCATTATCACATTGGTGGCAAGTCATTCTCTCTGACAAATTACTTATCACTCAAATTTTATTATCATCCTGAAACATTAAAAATCCTCACACCCAATTAGATTGTATTATAATTTTAACTTACAACTTGTTTGTGAAATTGTTACGTAATCATTTTTTTTAAAAACAGATCATGTGTGTTAGTTAAAAACAAAACCCCAGAAATATACTGTAGTGTCCTTTTTATTCTTTGTCAGGAAAATAAGGTGATGATGAATGAAAGTTTAAATCGTAAAATATAAACAGTGCAGCTTCATAAATCTTTCTTAGGAAAACAGTGTGATGATGTATGAAAGTACAAATCGTAAATCGTATTTTTATAAACAGTGCAGCTTCATAATTCTGTTTTAGGAAAACAGTATGATGATGTATGAAAGTACAAATTGTAAATCCTATTTTGATAAACAGTGCAGCTTCATAATTCTGTTTTAGGAAAACAGAAGGTGATGTATGAAAGCAAAAATCTTAAACCATGCAACAACAACAGTGTAACTTCCTTATTCTTTGTTAGGAAAACAGTGTGGTAATGAATGGGAAGAAGCCATGAACATGCATGGCAGCTATTGTGGAGCAAGGTGAAGTTGAGTGACAGTTCCGGAGAATTAACTGTTGAGACACCTGTTCCTTCCCTATCTACAAGTCCACATGACAGTGACTCAGTCCATCTTCTGTGTGGCTATCTAAGGTGTTCTATTCGCTGTAAGAGATAGACTTATCACAGGGATATGATCCCCCGGGACTTTGTTTCCCAGATGCATTGTACTAGAGGTTATATAGGGAGATTGTCAGATAGCTGAAGTGATCTGTGATAACGTGTAGATGTATTGTGATTGGGAGACATTTTAGGTGCAGTGGGTGTGGGCACAGTGCCCCAGGCTGCCTTACTCACGTAGCTCATAGAGACGCAGAAATGTCGCTTTGCTGATGATTCAATACCATAACCAAAGGTAAAAAAATAATATTTCTGTGAGTTGTGACCAGGAATGTTGTATGTGCATCACTGAGGGCATCGTGGCCTGGGACGCATCTCTTGTGAGTGGGGTTGTGCGAAATACGGTGTCACAAGGAAGAGAATGTATGAATGTCAACTTCTTTATCATGAGGAACACAACGGTTGGGACTAGATACTTACTCCCTCATCAGGTGAAAATTGCTACGAGGCAGAGAACATATATATGTTACCTGTACGAACAACAAAAGTAATAAGATTCCTTTGCTAATCACCTATCAATGCCAGTTATCTGTTGGCTCCCCTTGTTAAATTTCACCTTTGTTATCCTATTGTTGTACAGGTACATGCACGTTGCTATATAAGTGCGATAATATTGGATGCGATATTAAACCCAATCTCACCTCACCTCTTTGCTTATAAAAGGTTTGTTAGTTCGAATCCAATTTTCAAATTAATTATAATCCTTGCTCTGTCACATGCTAGTGGGTTTTACCAAAGTGATATGTGTGCATAACAGTGCCGTTTTGGCTTTTCTCCCAGATCAAAGGGACATGTTCTGACATTAAAAAGTCTGATGGATTATGCAAAAGAATGTTGTTAAAAGTGGCTTAAAGCCACACTCAATGTTTTGATTGCTGGGAAACACTCTTATTGTTCCTTGGATGATTCCCTGTTCACCGGCCCGTGAAGATCCGGGGTAGAATAGGTCTTCAGCAACCCATGCTTGCCGTAAAAGGCGACTATGCTTGTCGTAAGAGGCGACTAACAGTATCGGGTGATCAGGCTTGCTGACTTGGTTGATGCTCATGATGTCAATCACTGGATTGTCTGGTCCAGACTTGATTATTTACAGACCGGTGTCATATAGCTGGAGTATTGCTGAGTGTGGCCTAAAACAACAACCAATCCCTGTTCACCGACTGTGCACAACGATATTTTGAATAATTGAAACCATTAACAGAGCTATTGAAATAAGGATAAGTTATATATGATATCTTTAATACCCAGTATCACTCTGAAGAATTGCCATGACAACAGATGTTTCTTGTGATACCACTGATAAACTATTTCTGTTATAAGCAGTCAGTTGAACAATGTTTTGGCTTGATTGTCAGAATGTAACATCTTTTTCCTGCTGAAATTGGATATGATTAATTATTCAAGCCAGTAAAATGGGTTTAAGGACATTGTGAATTCTGAGGCCTTGTTTGTGTTGAAAGTCATTAATGTGAAGTGCTTTCACTGATGACACTGCAAGTGATTATGGAATACATTTGGTGGAACAGTTCTCTACTGTTATGCATGTTGAACTACCCTGGGGAATATTATCATGCTGCTTTGTATCCAGAATAGTCCTACAAATCATCATTTGCATGGCACAGAAAGGTTTGGTCTCATGATTGAATATCAGTGCTTCAACAAACATTTGAAATACATTGTGTTGATGGGTTGGCTCAGCAGCAGAGTCTATGGATTCCCTTGAAGAAGGCATCTGTGATCTGAATCTCTCTGGGCTTTTGTCCAACACCAAGCTGATGTAACGGAATTATTCCTACTAGCTTAGCCAAGATCAGTCTCTTGTCCTAGGACAGGCAATAGAAATGAATTTTAAGTATTTTTAGTTTGTGTGGGACAAGCAAATGCTTACAAAATAGGAAAAATAATTTAATGGTCTCATGTTAAAATGACAGATCAATACAGTTTTCTACAACTGTGGTACGGCTTATTATTTGCCTAAGTAAACAATCAGTCTTTGACAATCGTAAATTTGCTGCGCAGCTTGCGTACGAAATGTCAAACAAAACTGGTGTTGCTCACAGCCATCATGTTCATCCTCTGTTGGTAGATGCAGTGGCACAGCAATATAGATCAGGGCAAAGAAGAAGGCAGGATTGATTTTCCTAAAATATCGCGAAACACAAGTTGCACAGCAATTGTCAGCTGACATTTTACAAACGTGTTCCCAGAAATCCAGACACCAATTTCCCTATGAACCGAACATTCCTGGTCATGTGATCACACACAACTTATCACAGAACAAACATCTAAACATTATTTCATTTCGTTTCAGGAGGTGATTCCGATGAACACGCAGCTGATAATGCGGACACAAATATCTCAGTTTGGCAGAAGGATGGATACTTCTGTTTGACCAGGACACCGATTTGAAGCTGACCGGTGATCTGCTCCACGTAAACATGGACACGACGGTGGAGACCAGCGCGGCGTCTTCAGCCGGGGACGTGACGTACATGACCCCACGGGGGAACATGACGACCATGACACCCCTGTTGCATCAGTGCGACCACATAGACTCCCAGTATGACGTGGCCTCGGCAATTGTTTGTGCGATGTGTTTCATATTTGGAATTCTGTATACATTTTTTGGTAAGTTTGAAAGAGTGAGAAATGAAAATAACTTTTTGAGCCATGAATGATTAATTTGTGTGCTTGGCATGGTTGTACAGTTATTTGAATGTAACCTAGGAATTGTGCTAACATTGTTTCACCAAGAGAAATATGGAACAAGCAAGCAACAAATATTGCTACTTAAACAAAAAAGGAAATAAGTGTCACATGTTGTTCCAATGTGAAACACATAGCTTTGCTTTGCCTTACTGCCAGTGCACCGAGGCTCTGTTTAATTTCACTTTGATAACATGACAAGGCTGTAAGTGGAATATCTAACCAAATGTTTCTGTTTTTCTTGTTCAATCAATTTGGAGACTTTGCACTATTTCTAAACAGAAAGATGCCTTTTCGCATGGCAAGGTACACACATGCATGCATGCACACAACACTAAGGTAGACGCAACACAAGGTGCAATCAAATAACACACACACACACACACACACACACACACACACACACACACACACACACACACACACACACACACACACACACACACACACACACACACACACACGTACGTGTGTCACCAAGGGGCACACACACACACGCATGCACACACACACACCACACACACACATCAAAGTCCCTTCATACAACAGTGTGGTTCACGAACACGACAATATGGCATGTATACTTTGTGAATATCACTCTGTACGTACACACACACACACACAGCACACACACAGCACACACACAAATCAGTCCCTTCATACAACAGTGTGGTTCACGAGCACAACAAAACAGCATGTATACTTTGTGAATATCACTCTGTACGTACACACACACACACACACACACACACACACACACACACACACACACACACACACACACACACACACACACACACACACACACACACACACACACAAACAGCACACACACAGCACACACACAGCACACACACAGCACACACACAAATCAGTCCCTTCATACAACAGTGTGGTTCACGAACACAACAATACAGCATGTATACTTTGTGAATGTCACTCTGAAACCATCCCATCTGCTCCACTTTCAGGGTACCGGTTCTTTAAGGCAATCATGTTCCTGACCGGGTTCATCTTCGGCGGTGTCCTCATCTACATGATCTGCAAGGAAGAGGAGATTATGCCCACAGAAGGAAATATCGGTGTGGCCATTGGCGCCGGGATACTCTGTGGCCTCATCACGATGCTTGTGCAATATGTGGGACTATTTCTCACCGGATTCCATCTTGGACTAGCACTAGCAATCGCTGTATTGATAGTCCTTGAACAGTTCATGCATCCTTCAACCAAGTGGATACCCATTGGATTACTCGTGGGTCTTGGGTTGCTGTTTGCCTTTCTCATTCTGAAATTCCAAAAGTGTTTCACAATTTTGGGGACAAGTATTTTTGGAGGTGCTTTAATGGTAGCATTTTTAGACTATTTTATTGAGAAGTTTCGCATGGTGCTGTATGTGTGGGACAGAGTGAAAGGCAACGAGTCGCCGCCTGTGTGCTGGTACAGCTGGGTGATACTGGGCTGCTGGCCATTTTGTTTCCTTGTTGGAGCTATTACACAATGGAGGATTACAGGACAGGGAGTGGACCATCGGGAAGGTAACAAACCCAGACCAGGCCAATAAACAAACAAACAATAGATCATGCACAACCGTATTAATTATTTCCTGTCTGTTATTCTTCCCACGACTTGTCTGTAATGGCAGTCACATCTAACAGTCTGGGTCATTATGTACCTTTGTCAGAGGGGTACACAAAGTACGTGATCTGGACTACCAGTTGTCAAACTTTCATTTTTTGGGAACCCTTGGTGGCTGATTGGGTTAGATCGCTGACTTTGTGTGCCTCACTCTGGCAGTGTGGGTTCGAATCTCGGACAGGACTTAACCCCAAAAAGTACTCGAATCTGTAATCTGTAGATTAGACTAAGAAAGTGTAATGCCAAATATAACATGTTACATTTGATCACTTTCTCAATAGCATTGTGTGTTCATGGGTCAAAACCAGCTTTGAAGAATAAAGGCTGAGCCTCTGATACATGCCATGTCCACTAAACAAGTAAATGAATGATCCCTTTCAGGAAACATATAATGAATAGTCACTGCTGGTACCACAAATTGTAAAGTACAGATACGAAAATAGCCTGGGCTTCAAATACATGCCAGGTTATTATTATGTCCCAAAATAAAAATCCACATTAGGGGCATAAATTAGCAGAAATACGGTATGCTTATTCACTTGAAACCTAAAAGTCATTCAACCAAACAACAAAACACCTTATCGGTCTGTGTGACACCCATCCTGTTTTTCTCCAGAAAAGGATGGGCTACTAATCTCTTGATATTTCTCGCGGTAGATATCTGTCATATTTAGGTTCAAGGTTAGACAAGGTGCCCTATATGCTTGCTGTACAAGGAAACTATTTAGAACCGGCTGTCATATAGCTTCATTATTGGTGAACACAAGTGTGTGTGTGTAAAGGGGCGGGGGGGCATCCAAAAACATATTCTGTTTTTTAGTGGGCCATGTACCATGTTCCAAATTTATATTGTTGCTCCCCATCCATTGCACATTCCTCATCAACATATGATTAAGCTGTCATACCAAAAGACGTTAAAAGTTGGTACTTGTTGTTTCCCTGTCTGGCGCTCAGACTTAAGGGGTTAAGACAAGGACTGATCAGCTCGGAGTCAGAATACTGTGCTGTGAATGCTAATATTGGTATTCATGTTAAACTGCAGCATGGTATCTCAGTGGGCTAGCAAAATAGAACCATCATTTGTCCGGACACGCACATGCAAGCACATCACTATATATAAGTACAATAATTTTGAACACAATGTTAAACTCCATCTGACTCACGTTACACAAGGATGAGCTTGATCCAAGGCTGTACTGAGAGATAAGTCCATCCAGTGTAGTCTCTTATAGGGACAACTTATTCTTATTATTTACATAATCTAGAAATTATGATTTCAACTTATAATTATTGCCTAAGAGACTTGTGCCATGCATCTCTAGACTTGCTCCAAGTCTGTACTGAAAGAAAAATCCATGCATGGGTAGTAATTCTATTTTCCTAATAGTCAAGTCTTGGACTCCAGTCTCTTGTTCCACAACTTGTTCTTATTATTTACATACTCTAGAACTTATAATTTATATATTATGAACTAATAATTATTGCCTTAGAGACTTGTGCAAGTCTACACAAGGGTTTTCTGCAGTGAATGCCCTGATCTCTTCAGCCCCTTCAGTGTCGGGCTTGTCTTTAAGGTTAATGGACACAGGCATGGCGCAAAGGCAATTTTCTCCCCTGTGAATATCATTGTGCCATGTGTGTAGCAACTAATGTGTCTGTCAGTATCACTTCTTTTAGTCATAGCACATCGAGTATCCCTATCAGCTTCTCTAGTCTTCGGAGGTGTGGACAATCGCTGTGCAGAGTTGGGTCCCAGATATAGGGGGTTAAAATTTAGATTAATGTTTCTAAGTTTAGAGCACCACCCAGTCTAAGCTTGTTTGATGTAAGGTGAGGTGAGGTGAGGTGAAATTGGGCTTAACGTCGCGTCCAAGATTATTGCACTTATATAGCGACGTGCATGCACGTGTGTGTGTCTGTGGCTGCTTGTACTAGTCCAGACTGATGCCGATTTATAGTGCTAGCTCACTGAGATACCATGCTGCATTTTAACATGAATACCCCACTCAGACACAGTATACTGACTCCGAGCCGACCAGTCCTTGTTTTATCCCCTTAATGCCGAGCGCCAGACAGGGTAACAACAAGTACCATCTTTTAACGTCTTTTGGTATGACGCAGCCGGGGATCAAACCCCGGACCTTCCGCTCTCCGGGTGGACACCCTACCACTAGACCACGGAGGCGGTTGTTTAATGTAAGTGAACAACTGTACAGAGTGGTGTTTAACCCAACTCACTCACTTACATTGCTATGAGAGTTTATTGTTTCCAAATCCAGCACAATGTATACAAACAGTAACAACACCCCAGTAGACCTTTTGCAGGAATTCAGAATTCTAAATGTGAAAATATATAGAAAAATAATATAAAATAAAACAAGTTGTTACCCCAAGTGTAGACATCTGTTAACAGTCACATCCCAAATGAAATCTTCTCCCTTAACAGTTTGTGTTTATATTTTCTCAGTTTACATAAGCAGCCAGTGTTTCCCAGTTCCCTGAGGTACATCAGTTGGCTGGACAGAGTTGCTCCCCTTGTCTGTAGCAAGGGAGTAGTGCTGTTTGTGTGTTCTCATCCCTGTGTCATCCTTATAGTGATCCTCAGTCTGTTGGCACAACAGGTGCTTGTGGATTTATGTAAAAGTGGTAAATGTGTAGGGCCTGCATCACTGTTCCCAAACAGTAGGCAAACACACAGTGGGATAACTGTATGGTGGTCAAGGCTTTGATAAAACAAACTCGCTCACTGTAGTTGTAAAAATGAAACTGGGAATTGTGGCAAATTGCCAATTATTGATAGCTAAATGGAGAAAAGTTCAAAGATCTAACAAAGGAAAAGGAAAAGATTTTTCAGAAACATAAAATATCCATTTTGTTAATTATCTGCATGGTTAAGTTTTTTAAAGCAGGCAATAGAGGTGCTGGATCATTCCAGGGTATTTGATGTCCTGTGACATTACTGTGAAAGATAATCACTAAATATGGCTTAATGTTATAGAACTATTTCCCAATAGAAGGCTTCTTGTTCAAAATCTAAGTCCCAGTTTTACCCTGTGTTCCTCTATTGATTTTGGCAATAGATCTATGATCCGAAAGAGAGATTAGGCGTGGGGAAGTTGGCAAGTCTGATTCAAGTCATTCCAACTCCACTTTGTTTGTTTGTCCGTACCTGGCTCCTGTGATTTGATGTGTAGAGGTGTGTCACATGGTCATGCAGAATCAAATAATGAGGGGTTTGAATCCTGGATTCATACCAATTCTGATCTTTTGTTTTGCAGCACGCTAGCCGTGCTCATGGGTTTCACCAAAGTGGTGAATGTCTAAGACCTGCATCACTTAAGGATTTCCTCCCACACGTCACAAATGCATTGACCCAAACAACTTTGCTTCTATTTGAAGACTGTGCTTTGATTCACCTGGACATACTCTTTGAGCTGGGATGAAATCGAAGTCCTAAATGGCCTCAGTATTGCTTCAGTTATTACTATTTCATGCACCTTAAACAATGTCACTGTTTCGAGAAGACATCTTGACTTTGATAACTGGTGTCTTGTAACTAACTTAGAAACAACAACATTCATTCCATAAAAGATTTGCGTCTATGATAAGGATGGTGAATGAGTTGCTGGTTGTCGTTTCAGAATTATCAGTGAACATTGCAATGTTGATTTGAACATTGATGTGACAAGACTGGACTTATTTCACTGGACTGTTTAATAATAATGGCTGTTTCTTAAATTCAAGAAGTTAGTTTCAAGGGCCCAATGGCTGTTTAGTATATTCAAGATGTTGGTCTCAAGGGCCCAATGCTGTTTAATAAATTCAAGTTGTTAGTTTCAAGGGCCCAATGCTGTTTAATAAATTCAAGTTGTTAGTTTCAAGGGCCCAATGCTTTTCAATAAATTCAAGTTGTTAGTTTCAAGGGCCCAATGCTGTTTAGTAAATTCAAGATGTTAGTCTCAAGGGCCCAATGGCTGTTTCGTAAATTCAAGATGTTAGTTTCAAGGGCCCAATGGCTGTTTCGTAAATTCAAGATGTTGGTCTCAAGGGCCCAATGCTGTTTAATAAATTCAAGTTGTTAGTTTCAAGGGCCCAATGCTGTTTAATAAATTCAAGTTGTTAGTTTTAAGGGCCCAATGGCTGTTTAGTATATTCAAGATGTTAGTTTCAAGGGCCCAATGGCTGTTTCGTAAATTCAAGATGTTAGTTTCAAGGGCCCAATGGCTGTTTCGTAAATTCAAGATGTTGGTCTCAAGGGCCCAATGCTGTTTAATAAATTCAAGTTGTTAGTTTCAAGGGCCCAATGCTGTTTAATAAATTCAAGTTGTTAGTTTTAAGGGCCCAATGGCTGTTTCGTAAATTCAAGATGTTAGTTTCAAGGGCCCAATGGCTGTTTCGTAAATTCAAGATGTTAGTTTCAAGGGCCCAATGGCTGTTTCGTAAATTCAAGATGTTGGTCTCAAGGGCCCAATGCTGTTTAATAAATTCAAGTTGTTAGTTTCAAGGGCCCAATGCTGTTTAATAAATTCAAGTTGTTAGTTTTAAGGGCCCAATGGCTGTTTCGTAAATTCAAGATGTTAGTTTCAAGGGCCCAATGGCTGTTTCGTAAATTCAAGATGTTGGTCTCAAGGGCCCAATGGCTGTTTAGTGAACACAAGATTTTGGCCTAAAGGGCCTGATTCCATACAGCATCTGAATGTAATGTTTGCTTATTTTAGTTTTGTATTGCCAACAAACAAACAAATGTACTCTGTATGGCGTGTCCTCTACCATGGTAATATGGCAATATAGCTAAAAGTGGCCCAGAAACTCACTCACTCACTCACTCACTCTATCATCCAATCATTACACCAGTTGCTAACAATCTCTGATGCATACATGTTTTGCAGATAAGTGTTGATAATAAATGTAATCAACCATTTTCTAAGAAGATTAATCGGATTCTCATACCCCCTATTTACATTAGGATGAACACAGTAAGTGCAGACAGACACCATTCGCACCACAAGATTGACACAAATGGATTTTGTAAGTGTGTGACTGTCTGACTCGGAGAAATGCATCGCTTGTTAACATGGCCTGTTTGGCAGGATGCTTGCCAACCAAGTCACGCAGGGTTATCTCCATCGACAAACATCGTTGTGCAACCGTAGCCAGCAGTAATTAGTCTGGAGCATCAGCTGATCTACAATTGGCCGAAAAATGTCAGGAAGAAAAATGGGTCTGAATTTAAATTGCCTTGGCGTGAGTGCTCGTGTCTGCTAGTGCTACCAAGTCTTTTACAAACATATGATGTATTGCGTGTGGACAAACTTAGAATGGTAATTAACTGCAAAGATATGTTAGCTTTAACAGTTAAAGAGATATTCATCCTTGAAACAGATTTCAATGGCTGTAATGAAATACCCAATTCATTATATTGTGTAAAATGATACTTTAAACGATGTATAGTTTGCAGGGAAACTGTATAAATATCTTCTGAGTGACGCATGACGAAGGAAAGGGAACATTGATTTGTGCTACGGGATTACTGTTAATGAATCACAGATGGGTCATGACAACAGCTTGGATATGGGACTCAATTTTAGAAACTTGATGAGTTTCCTGTCTGCAGACTCTGAAGCTACAGTTATACAGTTATGACAGATAATATGAACAAATTACATATCGAAAATATATGGTACATTTCAGAAAAAAATTGTTGAACCATATCACCAAGTCATATGTTACGTCAGAAGAATGATTTTGGATGATAAATAGAATCCCACCCTCACGTCGTCTAAGCTGAAATATATCAAGACCTGTTGATAAAAGTGAAAGTATTCTTGGCAAGCCGCGGATATTTGTAACTTTTATCAACTCGTCTTGATATATTTGATTTCAGAAGACACTTGGGAGAGAGTCTGTATGTACTGTTAGTGGTCAGTTCATCAATGATGAAGGTGAGGTGAAATGGGGGGTAACGTCACGTTCAAGACCACTGCACTTATATAGCGACATGCGTGTACGTGTGTGTGGTTGCTTGTACTATTCCAGACTAATGCCCGTTTTATGGTGCTAACCCACTGAGATACCATGCAGCTGTTTAACATGGACACTGTAAACTGACTCTGAGCCTACGAGTCCTTGTTTAGCCGAGCGCCAGACAGGGTAGGACAAGAACCATATTTTAACATCTTTTGGTATGTTGGGGATACCACCTTCCACTCTCCGGCCAGACGCTCTATTCACTAGACCAAGGTGGCAGTCTCAGCGATAAGGACAAGTTCTGAATAACACCAGAGGTCAAATCTACTTCGTTGATAGATTCTGAGAAGTATAACTTGACAGACTGGACAGGAGATTTAAATTTCTTATTTCTTGCTTGTAAAACCATACTCACTCACTCACTCATGTTCTTCCAACTTCTAAACGCCGAAAGTCTAGGAGAGGTCCAACAGGACTACTAAAATTTTCTATTGCTGGCCCTTTGGACCACTGGACAACAATTTGCAAGTCTGCAACATTTGTTCAAGATCCAGTCCAATTTCCGCATGGGTATTTGTCATTAGTGTGATTGGATCAAGATTAGTGCCATCACTCACTTGGTGGAAAGTCAGATAGAGTTATGCCCCCTACTTCATGTATCTTGTATCAGTATCAACAAACAAAGTGTATCCATTCAACAAGACCAAAATAAATACTGCTGGCACTGTTGTACCAGATGACCTCCAGATGACCTCTAACCTATGTTATTCACCAGTTGGTAGTTATCATAGTGTATGGCACTGGCAATATGGTGCCTATGACTCATTTACACAGCTTGAGCTTGTACAGCAGGAACTGCTAACATTGTCGTAAATATTTATGAAATAGTTTTATTTGATATTTGGTGCATGGTAGGAAATATGGTTATTATTTCAGGAACATATACAGTTTATGTACCAGGGGTTAAAAAAGGCATTATTGAACGAATGTTTATTGGCGATATGCCAACATGTTAACAATTGCTGTTCTTGATTCTTGAAGCTGTTTCATGTTATTCTGGTCACTGGTAGATGTGGGCGTTTTGTGTAATTGTAAAGTATAACATTAAGTTCAAATGGATTTGAAATTGGCTCTTAAATTGTTGATATGTTAAATGTATTTCCCCTATCCTAAGCTCACTGCCACCACCCTATGAAAACACCATTATTTGAATTATTATAATCATGATAATAAGTAAGTCCAAACCAATCACCTCAGCAGTGAATGGATAAGTGTGTATGTAGTATTGTATTCTCAGCTCCCTGGGGAGTATGTCAGTGCTTTCACACCTACCATCCTTTCCTGCCTGGTATGCATAGGTAAACAGAAGCAAATTTCTAACAATTCTATGGAGACCCCACATGTTTGTTCACCTGTTTCAGACAAGGGCAGGGCTGAAGCCCTAGAAACTCAAATGAGTTACCGTATTCGATGTAATAAGCGCCCAGGGCGCTCTAAAATTTGAAATAGGGGGCTCTTATCAAAATATTATTTTGGTGAAAATAAAACAGGGTTGAAAGATCAAATTTGTGTTCATGTACGACATATATTTTTACCAGAATTTAATTGCCCATAATTAAGGTTGCATATAACACACGAGTGCGTATCATACGCGAATAAATAAGTCTTGTGAACATTGATCAATCAGAAGGGGTGCTAATTGGGATTGTTCACGAGCCAATATATTCGCAAATATCGCCGTGGGCGCTTATTAGAGCGGGGCGCTTATTACATCGAATACGGTAAGCTAGTGGAGCGTGGCCACTCATACATCTATCTTCTTATGCCTCATAAACTCAAAATAAATCTGTAAGCCATGAAATATGGAAAATGTGGCCTTAGTTTTCCTTCATAAGTAACTGATTGGAAGCTGCATTATTTCTTCAACACTTGTGACACCAATCTATCATCCTTGGAGATATCACTGCAATGGAATTGCATCACACTGTTTTGCAGACCATTGTGACATCATCGGTTACCATGACGTCACAATCAAATGGCATCACTAAACTTCTGCTACTGATGGTGGTTGGCAGCACTTTTTACGCCCAAGACACTGCTTATTACGGTTTACAAACTAAAAAATATGGAAAAACTATTTTTGATGATAAATGCCATAGTTTCTTGAGTATAGTGCACACCCAAACCTAATGCCCATCCCCCTCTAGAGGATTCAGTATTTTTTTTTTTGAGTATTATACGCAGTACCACACTACATCGTATCCCTTTAGCAAATTCAGGTAAACAAACATTTGATAACAAACTTGATGAATATAAAATTGAAGTTTGAGAAAAAACATCACTAGACATGATGACTTACCATTTAAATCATGTAAATTGTATTTCCTGTTCTGATATGCATTGTTTTATATGCAGGGATAAAATTGTCCTGTGTATTTTCTTATAAACTAAGCCGGAAATAGCAAACAGCTGTACACACGTTTTCTCCCAATCTACTGGTTGATTTGGTTAAAATATACCCAATAAAAGACTTTAAAGAATTTTGATGCAATGATCGGAAGAATTGTATCAGGAACTATTATTTCATCAGGAAGAATATATTCCATATGTTACCTTTGTGTCTTTGATATCAGGCCTTAGAGTTTCCTACTGTTATCGACTCGTATAATTGATATGAAAGGACATATGGTTGAGATTCCGTATGTTATAATTCCATGTATCTAACAATGGCCTATACTTCTTTGTTTTTATTTTTTCAGCACTACACATCAACAGGTCCAAGAAGGTGAACCTAAAACGTATTCGGGCCCGGGAACGCCGAGATGAGCAACATTCTCGTTACCGCCACCTATACCAGGTGCGGCGCGTCAACGGGGATGTCATCTCGCAGGTGAACAACCAAGTTCGTCACTTCCATTTTCTCCGCATGACTAGACACATTAACCCTTGTTGAAGCTAAAACACATTAACCCATGTTTTTGTTTCTCGTTTTCACATCCAATTTCCCCCCCTCATTGCAAGAAGACGACTTAGCACTGTGACTATTGTAAGTACAGCCACGAGTACAATGCCTGAGTCTAGTTCAATTCTGTTCAGTCTGGTAAGCTCAGCCAAGATTAGGGGGGCACGGGTGGCCCAGTCGTCTAAGGCGCCGCGATTCGCTGTGCAGAGTTGCGTCCCTTGGTCATGCCAGTAACCTATGATTGTGGGTTCGAATCCCGGTTCGCCCTGATTATGTTTCTAGGATTGTCAGCACCATACCCGTGCTCGTGGGTTTCACCGAAGTGGTAAACGTCTGAGACCTGCATCACTTCGGGCTTTCCTCCCACACTAAGCTGACACCCCGTGATATAACTGGAATACTGTTAAAAGCAGCGTTAAACCAAACCCACTCACTCACTCACTCAGCCAAGATTAGTACACTGACTAACAGTAAATTGAACTGAAAATGATGCCAAGACCCAGTTTGGGCTAGTCATCTCAAAAGTGTATTGCAAAGACTGAAAGTAGGCATGAGTTCGGATGTTGAACCTTATTGTGATGCAGGAACAGTCTTTCAGCATATCTGTGGTGTGGAGAGGGTCCGACAGCCCAGTGCAGTAAATCTATGTGCAAATTTGAGATCCTTTGGCTTACCAGAAACCTGAGCTGGAGTTTGGATCCCGTTTTGAAGTGATTATATTTCTGGGTTTGTCATCACTATCCCATGCTTGTGGGTTTGACCCAGGTGGTACACCTCTCAGACCTTCATCTGTTGGGGGCGTGGGTGGCCCAGTTGTCCAAGGCAGGCCAGAAACCTATGATTGTGGGTTCGAATCCCGGTTCTCCCCGATTATGTTTCTAGGTTTGTCAGCACCATACCCTTGCTCGTGGGTTTCACCGAAGAGGTAAACGTCTGGGATCACTTCGGGCTTTCCTCCCACATAAAGCTGACAGGCCATGATATAACTGGAATACTGTTAAAAGCGGCGTTAAATCCACACTCACCTTCATCTTTTCTGGCTTTCCTCAGACATTAGGCTGGCATGTGATTCAACTGAAACTGTTTGAAGCTGCATTAAGCCCGACATACTCACTCACTCACTCACTCACTCACTCACGCACTCACTCACTCACTCACTCACTCACTCACTCACTCACTCACTCACTCACTCACTCACTCACTCACTCACTCACTCACTCACTCACAAACACGTGTTGGTTATCATGGCCACTCCAAACAGGTTTCAATAGCATGGCAAAGGGTATATTTATGACTGACAAAATTTTTGAGTCCAATAGCCCCAACTTGGCTCTTGGCATCATTTGCAGTAGATTTTAGTGTTATTACATGTGCTATTGTTAGCTGAGCTTACCAGACTGAACAGAATTTTACTAGGCTCAGGCGTTGGACTAGTGTCTAAAGTCACAGATTGAACGCACAACACTCATGGTGCTTCTTAATTGGAAACCCCCACCCCCACCCCCTCAAATGAGAAACAAAAGCCTCTTGTTTTGTTATGTTAACATGAGTTTAATTCATCATCACAGTCCATGGAATTGTTGATTAACCATAACATCTGACCAACTATTCTGAATATTGTGATTATGTTTGTTTTGTTGTTGAAGACGTTAATTTACACATTTTCCTTCTGCGATTAAACTTTATTGTGAAGCAATTTCTCCTTATTTCCATCAACAATGTCCAATTCTAATATCACAAAGTTTTCCAAATTTAATCATTTAATTTTTCTTTATTCTTTGAATTTTTTATCAAATTGCTTTTTCTCATTATCCATGGCATCATTTCATGAACCTCCTCGTCTCAGTCAGAGATTCTGGTTTGTATGTGTCTGTCATGTGATGCCTCCATGAAATTCTTCAAAAACATACAGTCAAATCTAGCCATAATTTTATCAGCAACTATTTTGTTAGTGAAACAGCCTCCGTGGTCTAGAGGTAAAACGTCCACCTGGACAGCGGAAGGTCAGGGGTTCGATCCCCGGCCGCGTCATACCAAAAGACGTTAAAAGATGGTACTTGTTGTTACCCTGTCTGGCGCTCGACATTAAGGGGATAAAACAAGGACTGGTCGGCTCGGAGTCAGTATACTGTGTCTGTATTCATGTTAAACTGCGGCATGGTATCTCAGTGAGCTTGCACTATAAATCGGCATCAGTCCGGACTAGTACAAGCAGACACACACACACACACACACACACACGTACATGCACGTCGCTATATAAGTGGAATAATCTTGGATGCGACGTTAAACCCAATTTCACCTCATCTCACCTAGTAGAGGTGAGGAGTCAATAGTTATGAAGACTAAGACCATTTGAATACTGCAGTTTAAAGTTGAATGATAACAGATATAGGCAATATTAACATTGTAGACCGGTCACATGTCAGTATTAACCTAGTCAACATCAGATAACTGTCACACATATATCTTCAGTTGAGCATGTATACGGAAGTATTCCTGTATAAGCTTATTTTCACTTAATCATTAATGGAATGGTGAGAAAAAGTGCCATGCTATATATATGGAATTGAAAGTGAAAGTGCCGTACTATATAAGGAATGGTCATGAAAGTGCCATGCTATATAGATATTGGTAAGTGAATGTGCCATGCTAGGTATGGAAAGGTAAGTGAAACTGCAATACTGACTGATAAACATTTATGTTTCAGGACTACATTCAGAGTATCCAGGGAAAACTGTCCCCGGCTATGAGAAGTCTGACCGACCCAATGACTGAAGTGGAGAGTGCTAACACTACACTGACACAAGTGCCATGATCATATCACACCTCTACTATAGGTCATATCACTCATATCACCTGCATGGGACGATATCACTGATATCACTTGCATTGGACATATCACTCATGTACATGAATGGGATGGTATCACTTATAACCATGGGACAATATCTTCTGGAAGGGGTGATATCGTTCATATTACACCCATGCAAGTTCAAGGTTTGGATATATCCATATCAAGTTCATGTTTGAACCATACTCGATACCTTCACATCAAATTGTATCACTAGCATTATAGACCCATCAAACTCCGACAGATGGACGTATCACATACACGTGATACATCTGACGAGGATGCTTGTCGTTGATGATTAACCAGGTACCTCACAGGGTAATACAACACATATGGACTGATGTCATTCAAGCATTCACCCTGAATGATGTTGAAGCATATCATTACACAGGAAGCACCAGACTGATATATCCTATTGCTTGAGGACTCTCCAACCACGGAGGAGCCGATGGTCACCTACATTGATGTGTATAGGACATGGCTGCCAGTAGTGCTTATCTCATGCATGGGTTGGGCTCATCAAGCACTGTCTAATGAATGTCTACAATGAACATGGTGTTATTAGCGTGTGAACTGAGCGTCGTGATAGACATGAAGTTGTTGGGAGGAGAACTGTATTTGCTGTAGTGCAGAAGCTAGAGTTGTTGGAAGGAAAATAGTACATACCTTTGTGAAGAAGATGGTGTTTGGAAAAGGAACAGGAGTCGTGGGATGGTGAATAGCAACTGGAGAAAAGATGTTGGCTGAAAAATAGCATCTGCTGTGGATAAGAAACTGAAGTTGTTGGCTGGAAAGTAGCATCTGCTGAGGATAAGAAACTGAAGTTGTTGGCTGGAAAGTAGCATCTGCTGGAAAGGAGAATTTGGAGTTGTTGGATGGAAAATAGTACGTGCTTGAGAGCCGAGGTTAAAGTTGTTGGAAGGTGAATAGTATGGACCACAGAGGAGAGCTGTATGTCATATGAGGTAATCGGGAGGCTGTTTAATCATGCACTGTCACCCCTGCTTGTCACTACAGGAACTGAATCTTTATGTTGTGATCTCAGACAATTATATGCTTGTATTTTCATTTTGCTGCCACTCATTGAAAAAGAAAAAGTCCTTTTCATCCATACCCATTCTAGGTTGTTGTAGATAAGACTTCACTCCAACTACACTTGGCCATCAAATGTTAGATGATCAGAGTCAGCATTAACTGCATGTCAAGATGGATGACGTCATGACAACCATTCCGTTTTCCTCTGAACTCACCAATCACAATGACCTTCATGAAGGTCACACTTCTGCTTGCATGGCCATATTTCTCGGCAATATTGTTCAAAGTTTGGTGCAAATAGATAGATGTAGATATATAGGCAATGCTCAAAGTCCCTAATCAAATCTAATCAGTCATTCTTTGTGTGTGCATTTGTGGTTGTTGGTGATTTGGGATATATGTTGCAAACAGAAAATCCCAATCATGAATGGGCTTGTTGATTCACTATTCATTATCGGTTCAATAAAGCAAGTTTATTTGTTAGAAACTACTTGAGGTATTCATATTAAAGTGGTACTTTTCCTGTCATTTAGCCATTCAAATTTGGTTTTGTTTTACTGGATTTTCTTGGTCAATTATGTGGTTGCCAGGAGGCAAAATAAGAAAGATTAAATGGAATGAAACTAAATCAGCATTTGTATAGATCACTCTCCAATTTGTAATTGCTCAGAGCACTAAGACCATGATAGATCTACATCATTATCTAAGTCAATGGATCAGTGTGCACTGGATTTTCATTCTCTGCTTCCTAGGGATCATACAACCCAAAAGCCTGTCAACAAAATACAAAAAAGTTGGGTTTTTGAGACCGCAAACTCTCAGTCATAACATCTACTATTTTTAATATATTTCTTTTGGTGGCAACATTTTTTATAGTCAGCCTCAAGCAAGCAAGAAACTAGTCTTAACACTACGCAAGTCTTAGAGTTTATTATGAGACTAATATTATGTCAACCACTGTTACATGTGTCCTGTTCAGATCCATGACTTTGTTACTCTGACAAACTGTTAAGGCATTATCCTCATAGGTTAGATTTTGGAGGAAAATTGATTAACCATGTCCCGTTCCGCAATGCGATCATAACGCTACAACTGTTGTAGGTGTATTTTAAAGTATAGGAGATGTGATTGTTGTATTGCTATGATCACTTTGTGGAGAGAGACCACGATCATTATGAAGCATTATCATTGTTCTAACAGCAATCACTACCCATAACTCATGACACTATCAGTGCAATAACATTGATGTTAGTCAGCAGGAAGATAGTTTTTTTATGTGACCCTAAGGTGTCCTTGACCTTGTACATATGGAAGATGGCACACAAAAAGGATTGTGTCTGCTATGCAATGAACACAGTATTTGAAATCAGTGGTTGTTGCCCGTCCAGGCTTTGATGATTTGCCACAGCCAGAAGGACTTCATAAGCTGTATTCGGAAATTTAGTTTTATTTTCTCAAAGTGCTTGGATACCATAAGAAAATCATAAATCATTTGACATAAAACATGACAATATGAAACAACAGTTATCATTGAAGTCTTTGATAGGCATTTATAGCAGTAGTCTATGCTATATATTTTGGCAGTTATCATTGCTATAATACAGCACAGCTTCTCAGCATTAATAGAGATCTATGCAAGGATACATTCATCTCCACATGTTGGCAAATTAAGATATGATCAAGAAAAAAATAAAATATTATTTCTTGTACAAAAATGGGTCAGCAGGTATAAATAAAAACATTTGACAACGAGTTGCGGATGTGATAACATAATTTGTACAAATCATATGTTGGCAAGTTCCTGGAAACTCGGCTTTTAAGTTTGCATGAACTGGTAGGCAGTATATGTAATCAGCCAATCAGCACAGATGCTTTCATGCAAGATGAGCGCTGCCTGAGTGGTCAATACACTGTGTGGTCATTGCAGAGCGTGCTCTTTAGTATGCTGGTAAGCAAGGGAGCATGGGACATTACATGGACTGATGGTCTTCTCTACTTTCATGCCATGTGTGGAATCAGTTCCTGGTGCTTCCTGCCATGATATTGATGGAATATTGCTAAAACGGCGTAAAAACCTACTCGATCGTCACTACTGTCATACCGACTGAGAAATAAGCTTAAAAATATATGTACACGCTTTACACAGCCATGAAGTCAATGAGTTGTTGGCTAGGGTCCTTTTATTCCTCCCTGCCTTGATGATAAACAAGATGGCCTCTTTCAGGGCAATGGGGTAGCCTAGCGGTTAAAGCATTCGTCCATACGCTGAAGGCCTGGGTTCGATTCCCACATGGGTACAATGTGTGGAGCCCATTTCTGGTGTGTCCGACAAGATATTGCTGAAATATTGCTAAAACGGCGTAATAACCACACTCCCTCATTGTTATTACTTTAAAGTAGCTTAAATTTACTCAGTTTCTGTTGGGGAGGCAGAATTTGAGAAAATATTTCTGATATTTTTGTGTGATTGATTAAGGAATATTGTTCAACAGTTGGGACATGAATGTATTCTTGACAACCATTTCCTCACTTCTAGTCTTCATACAGCAGGTATTCGGACTATCACTATTTTTGTGATGTAGGTATGCAGTGTATTCATGAATTTATTTGCGAATTGGTTGTATAGATGAATTATTTACCTAATATGGTCTCAGTTCCACTTTTACCCCAATGATATCACTCAGGTAACTCATGACACTTGATTTATTGAGAAGTGATCTGACTAGAACCTCAAAAAATTTATGTGTTGGGTTGGTGGGGTGTAGAAAAAGCAGAAGTAAACTGTGTTTAAAATTAAGCATGAAAGTACTGACCCCGTTCCACAAAGCGATTGTAGCTCTACGACTGTCTTTGCTAAAGTATGGGAGCTATGGTCGTTTGAGCGGTACAATCGCTTTGTGGAACGAGACTCTTGGCCATAATGTTAAAAATTAAATATTTAGGGGTCCCTAATGAAATCCCATAGGAGAAGACGTCACAGACCATGGGATCTGCCTTAATTTTTATCTCATTAAAATCAGATCTTAGTTCCGCTAAACAAAGATCTGAGAACACCCAATTACGTGTAACATCAGACCGACCTTACGTGAACTTTGACCGACCAATGGAAGGACTGACAAGAAGTCAACATTAGCCAATTAGAAGGCAGCTTTCTCGTGCTTTACAGCACTAATTTTGAATTGGGGACTACGGTTTGAAACATATTTTGACATATTCTCGATTAAAAATTGGAAACATGAACAAAAAAACCTTCCTAAAATGGCTGATAGATGGTCAAGATTGTATGGATTCAGTGGTCATTCGGAATACACCGTGTTACAGTTTTCGAGGTTGCATGATTAGAAATCACATTCCGATTGTCACTTTCATGATCTGGTAAGCGACGCTCTGATTGGTCGTATGAAAGGTCATTCTGACGTGACCCCTAATGGGATGTCCTCAGATCTTTGGGACAATTACTATATTAATAACATGGAAGTAATTTTCATAAAAAACTACCCCATGTTTTTTAAATTGACATATAATTATTGAAAACAAGGAGTTGGTTGGCAACTGAATAGGCAAGTAATTATTGATTAATTTTGTGTTGTAAGATTATAAAGGTACAGCATTGCCCAAGAGTCATACGATGTTAAGAGCCTGAGCTTGTAAGTCAGCTGTCCAATGCACAATGCCTGTATATTATCCAAACTGTCTCATTTCACAATGCATTGTATTAGATAGGCAGCAGACTTAGTCGGCAACACAGCAAAGAAGCCTTCACCTCAAGCACCTGTTGTGGAAGCGTTTTTGTTACTTTTGTACACGGCATGAAGTAATTTCTACTTTAATACATACATTATTTATGACTTGTATAAATTCATTTGCTTGTATATATGATTGTGTTTGTTTCTGTGTAAATATCATGCAGAACTCTCCCAAGTTTTCATGCAAACATCATTTGTGTCGGTGATGATAGATAACGTTTTCTGTTGCCGGTTTTAGATGAAACAGATGCACATTTAATTACAGGAGTAGCCAAGTGGTTAAAGCATTCGCTTGTCACCATGGTCACGCTGAAGACTTAAGTTCAATTCCTGATTTGGATACAGTGGTGAAGACCATTTGTTTCCATCATTACATTCTCAAATGCGAAAGGCATGATTTGACAAATCTTTAAGATGCAATATGTCATTGATATTGTACCTGGTGCTGAACGTGTATTTGTTTTTCAAGTTGAAATATTGGTTCAGAAGATGCAGGCTAACTGGTTGGAGAAGGGGCACCTGTTTTCATTATCTGATAGGCTGTAATACTGGTCCTGAATATTACTAGTCTTGGACAAGTGGACTATCTTTAATTGGACATTTAGAATCTGAAGTAAGATTGAAGCCACAGTCGACATGGATTTCAACGTGTTTATTCTCATGGGCGATGTTTCAATACAGATGCTAGCACCTTGGGCCGGTTTGGTAGCATAGTGGTTAAAGCGTTTGCCTGTAATACCAAAGGCCTGGGTTTGATTCCCCACATGGGTACAATGTTTGTCCATTTCTGGTGTCCACTGCCGTGATATTGCTGGAATGTTGCTAAAAGCGGCGTAAAACTATATTCACTCACTAGTACCTTTATTAAGTTTCATAAAGATATCAACATCCATGCTGAAACATTGCACACAAAAATAAAGGCGTTGAGTGAGTGAGCATGGTTTTAGGCCGCATTTAGCAGGGACACCAGAAATGGGCTTCACATATTGTACCCATGTAGGGAATCGAACCCGGGTCTTCGGCGTGACGAGCGCATGCTTTACCCACTAAGCCACACGACCGCCCCTAAAGACGTTGAAATCTATAACTCTGTCTTCAATGTGGACTTAGTTAATTTCAAACCCTGCACTTGTTTTGTTTGACAGTCCACTATAACATTACGTGGGGCACAATGGGTCTGATAACCTAATGCTCAGAAGGAAGGTGAATTGATTTCTTGCTATTATTGATCCTGACGCCATCTGAGGCACCAGGAAAGTATAAAGTTACTTCTAAATAATGTATGTGACTGACCTTTTCTTCAACATAAATAATCGTTACATGCGCAAAATTTTCCATAACCAGCAACAAAGTACGATATTCAGTTTCTTGTCAGCTATCATGAATCTGTACAGGTAAAATCCAGGTTGTTACTGTTGCTATGGAAACAAATGTGTCATTGCATTAACGTCTTTTGATATTTATGCTACATATGAAGAATTGGAATGCAATTGATTTATGGATAATCTTCTGTTCAACCATAAGGTATTAAACCAGTAAATGACAATCTTATTTTATTGAAACTCCTTACAAAATGTATTTGTTGTAACTTATGGAAGTTAGTAAAAACAAGCTTCAGGTATAAAGGTGAATTATTGCATTTAAAGTGAAATGTCCTCAGCTGTAAATAACATGTTTGTTATGGAATTTGCAGTTAAATCATGTTGAATGATTTGTTATAGAAGATCTAGATTTTTATTTTCCAGAAATATTACATAGAAATTTTGAAGGGTATATTTTTCTAATCTAATCTGACTTTAGCCATGTTAGCAGCATGAAGATGCAGTAGAGTATTTAGGAATATATAAACACTGGACATGTCGAATGTTATTTACCCTGTTATATACTCATGAAACTATTTCTGTAGACCTCGTGTCTATGATGTTGATTGAAATGTACTGGTTTCCATTTAGCGTGTGTCAGGACAGAATTCTTAGAACAAAGAATATTTACAAACGAATTTGACCCATCTTCCATATCCTTGTATCTTATCTCCATTCTAAATCTGATACCCTGGATCCAATGCTTGTCATGCTGAAGGAAAAGTAACCCAAAATACAAACATCACAATGAGAGGAACTTGGGCAGATCTGTTAATTAATACACTGACAAGAAGACAAGATCATAACATATTGTTATAGCTAAAAGCGATTCACAGTTTGAAAATGATGAACTTAAATAGTCTGTTAAAACCTGATAAAGTAATAATGTTCCACGAAGCAGGCTTAAATGAAGAAAATGTAATATATACATGTCAACCCGATATGATATTCACAATGATTGTGAAGATGAGCTAGTTTCAGACTATTTTGATAGGTATTCTGACAGTGAATACTGGTAACATCAAGCAAAGGAATGGATTGTAATTTGACAACAGACCTTTGACAAGCATTAAGTAAATTGTGAAAACATGTAAAGATATTGGTATCTGCACAAGAGCATTATGAACTGGTAAATATAGAAGTTGCTGTCCATTGATGTTTGTTTGACACATAACAAAACACTAATCATGCCATCCTTGATTGACAAGAGTATTATATATCCATACTATCATTATACATACCTTGGACCTATTCTCTACCATAGTTTTATTTTGAGCCTTATTCGAATTGCACCATGTTAAAAATAGCTGTCCAGTCAAATCTCTCATGAGGGAGAAGATACACGAGAGATTGATTTGATGACATCACTTACAAAATGAACTATGGTGGCAAATTTGTCCAGGGTATATCCTTGGAATGTGGATATAATACCAGGGTATTTATCTAGAATGTGGATATAGTACCCTGGATCATCGAGGATGATCTGTTATCACCTGTCCACCTGACTCAGTCTGTTGTTGATGTACTTGTTGTTACTGTTTATACAGGTGAGAGGAATGGAAGCATCACTTGACATGGTTCTTGTTTGCTGTATATAATGGTTGGCTTTGAATAAAAAAATATGAAATGAATCACAAGTTTTTGTTGTGTTTAGATCAGGCAAAAACTGTACAGCTTCACTGAAATGAGTTTTTTTTTCAGCTTTGGGACATCAAAACCAAGTTCTTATTCATATGTTGCATATCTGTGTGCTTAATATATTTGTCAGACTCCGCAGACACCAGTAGGTTTTGGTGACCTTGACCTCATTTTCAAGGTCACAGCACTGGATTGTCTTCATATTTTGAACTATGGTGTATATACAGACTCCGCAGACACCAGTCGGTTTTGGTGACCTTGACCCCATTTTCAAGGTCCCAGCAGGCAAATATGCTTTTGGAGTTGGAAAACGGTGTTGCCGTGATATCTCAAGAACTAATCGCTGGATTGTTTTCATATTTGGAACTATGGTGTATATACAGAAACCGCAGACACCAGTCGGTTTTGGTGACCTTGACCCCATTTTCAAGGTCACAGCAGGCAAATCTGCTTTTGGAGTTTGAAAACGGTGTTGCCGTGATATCTCAAGAACTAATCGCTGGATTGTCTTCATATTTGGTACTATGGTGTATATACAGGCGGGGGACATTTCGTCACTTTGTGACAAATACTTGTTTCCAAATTAATTTTGAATTGCTTGTATACAAGCATGTATAACAAATTACCAAACGTGGCCTTTTTTATTTTTCATACCTTTATTTGAGGGTCGGGATCCGTGAATCGCCTCTTAGGACAAGCATGGGTTGCTGAAGACCAATTCCAACCCAGATCTTCACAGGAGTCACAGCATGCTTTCTGTTCCTGCCATCAACTGCTTGTTTGCCTGGCCTCATTTACAGGTCTCTTTTATAAGTTTAAATATTAGTGACAACCGCCATAAGTAGCATTCACTCACTCGAGCCATACTGAGATGACCAGCAGCTTATATTTGTCAGAAGAAGAGCAAGTCAAGAGGCTCCTAAATTGGCTTCCTGCGAAATAATATAGCCTCAGCAGGATAGTTTTTGCACATGTGACCATCTTGGTAGACAAACTGTCACATGACCACCATGGTAAACTAGCTGTCACATGACCATCTTGGGTGACCAGCTGTCAGGTGACTCGGCTGATAGTTTGTCTGTTTCATGCTCACACTATCAACCACAAGGCTGACTTCTAAATTTATCTAACTTACAGGTTGACTATTGTCATACTGCTAAGTGTCTCCTGTCCTGATATTGCTAACCTAGTGGGCAGCCCGGAGAGCGGAAGGTCCGGGGTTCAATCCACGGCCGCGTCATATCAAAAGACGTTAAAAGATGGTACTTGTTGTTACCCTGTCTGGCGCTCAGCATTAGGAGCTAAAACAAGGACTGGTCGGCTCGGAGTCAGTATACTGTGTCTGAGTGGGGTATTCATGTTAAACTGCGGCATGGTATCTCAGTGAGCTAGCACTAAAAATCGGCATTAGTACTAGTATAAGCAGCCACACACACACACACACACATGCATGCACGACGCTATATATGTGCAAAAATCTTGGACGCGATGTTAAACGCCATTTCATCTGACATATGGGTACATGCAATGCTCTATGCCCTCGTTCGCTGGAATGTACATGATAATTATTGCATACAATACAATGGTAGTTACAGTAATGATGAATCTGCTCTTTACACAGGTAGAGGCAAGAGATACGGACATGTTTGGGTTTTCACCTGCCATAAATCTAAAAGATTCCGGTGAACGGTTACCATATACAGGAAACGTAAGAGAGGTGCGTCCCTAACAACATCCACCCAACCAAAAGCCTAACCTTATTCATATCTCCTATATTTCATAAAACATTTACCATCTTTTGGCGTGACGCTCGGGGATCGAACACCGGCCTTTCACATCCCGAGAAGACACTCTATCCTCCAGACTTTAGGGGAGGTCATTTGCTAGCAACACAATCAATAAACTACGGTTATACAAACTCAAAGGGACCACTGATTTTAGTTCGTAATAACCATAGTTCGTTATAAGCATACATACAACATATATACAAGAAATGACCAGGACTAAAAAATAAGTTCGTTATATCCGTCAGTTCGTTATAAGCGTGTTGGTCATAAACGTAGTTTACTGTATGTATAACGAAGCCGTCATTAATTGGAACATGTGTTCCATAGTCAGTATATGAAACCACTGAAAGGATTACTGGGTCGGAATAAGTCCTGGTACACTGTAATTTCCAGATAGTGTGGACCGTTCCTCATGCTGTCAACCACTCGTTGGTCTTGTCCATACTGGGTTATTTAAAGGTCGCTGTTCTGAAGCTGAATATTGACGACAACAACCTGAGGGCACGTTTGTAGATTCTTGGTAAAGTTGTGTTTGTTGTTCGGCTTGTTCTCCCTACAGGGTAAAGGTGATTGAAAAGGTTATCAACTCGAGTGAGCGAGTGGGGTTTTACGCCGCTTTTAGCAATATTCCAGCAATATCACAAGGGTTATTAACCCTAAACAGCTGGAGATTTTGATAAGCAATTTATATTCTTTATATGTAACTCCACTTTTGCCTCTCGTTACCATAGTGACGCAGCGGATGGCACTGGGGCATAACTTCTCGTGTCTTTATATTTTAACATTTTTTAATAAAACGCATTTCAGCTAAACCATATTGTCAATATCACAGTGGTACGTGAAGGAAGTGTACAGCAAAGGGTCTCCTGATAACGGCGACCAGGGCGCAAGTGTGATTCAATTCCAATTCCAAGTATGATTGGGGTTGGGTTGAAAAAAAGACATGAAACGTTTGTGGATAGCAACTTCTTCATTGCTGGTAAGGTTCAGAGCTATGCCTTGCCAATCGTCAGGTTGGTTGGTTGGTTTGTTGTTTAACGTCGCACTCGGCAATAGTCCAGCTATATGACGGCGGTCTGTAAATAATCGAGTCTGGACCAGACAATCCAGTGATTAATAACATGAGCATCGATCCACGTACAACGTAATTGGGATCGATGACATGTATCAACCAAGTCAGCGAGCCTGAACACCCGATCCCGACAAGCATAGTCACCTTTTACGGCAAGCATGGGTTGCTGAAGACCTATTCTACCCCGGATCTTCACGGTTCCGGTATAAACATTAACCATAAACAGACAAACAGCCCTGTGTGGCGGTTTAACATGGATACCCCAATCAGACACATTATACTGACCCCGAGCCGACCATTCCTTGTTTTGGCCCTTAATGCCGAGCGTCATTGTAACAAGTTTGTTTGTTTGTTGTTTAAAGCTGCACTCCGCAATATTGCAGCTATATGACGGCGGTCTGTAAGTAATCGAGTCTGGACCAGACAATCCAGTGATTGACATCACGAGATTCGATCCACGCAGTTGAGATCGATGACATCCATCAACCAAGTCACCAAGCCTGACTTAGTCGCCTCTTACGACAAGCAATAGTCGCCTGTTACGACAAGCATGGGTTGCTGAAGACCTATTCTACCCCGATCTTCACGGGCGCAGTGTAACAGGTACCATATTTTAACGTCTTTTGGTATGATTGGGAAGGGGATCGAACCACAGACTTTCCGCTCTCGGGGCAGACGCTCTATCCACTGGACCGTCATTCGTGATATTCTCGATTAACTTATTACGGTGCAAATACAACAATGTCATGTGCAAGGACAAGGTAGGATAACGGCCCTCTTTGACCCACAGGATTTGCTTAATTTAAGAAGTAGAAATTTTAATGAAAGATATCAAAGGTGTTCATATGAATGAGAACTTACCTTTGTTCATTTCAAGACAATACTCAACCCGGACGTGACTCAACCCCAAAAGTACTAGAATCTGTACTTTTCTATGAAAATGTTCTCCCAAATATATAACATTTGTTATATTTGACCATTTTCTAAATGACATTGTGTGTTCACAGCTTTCGACTGTGGGTTCGAATCCCGAACGGGCCTCAACCCCAAGAGTACGAGAATCTGTACTAAGAAAGTGTTATCCCAAAAATAACATTTGTTATAACTCTTGACAACACCAAATACTTGGGTAAAGATAAAATGTGGCCACAAGACTGATTTTTCAGATTTTTTTTCTAATATTGGAACACGAGCATGTCTTTGATCCATGCTGATTTTCATAAATGTACATCTTGGGTCACAGATTTACTCATATTTAGATTTTTTTAAATGCCCATTTCATACGTTTTAGCTATATTTGTGTATTTGACCAAGTCAGAATTCCAAAACTTGAAAATGTTAGAAGGAAAATTGGCTTATCTGAACATTTTCCTGCCAAATTTGTTACCAATCAAGTCAGCGAGCCTGACCACCCGATCCCGTTAGTCGCCTCTTACGACAAGCTTAGTCGTCTTTTACGGCAAGCATCGGTTGCTGAAGACCAATTCTTCCCCGGATCTTCACCGGTTCCAGTATAAACATTAACCATAAACAGACAAACCTTCTCTGACAAGAAGGATGTTATGGTTCATGAAAATATACATGACTACGCCGTGAAAGGAAAGGAAAGTCGACTTTATTACATTGCTGTCATTGCAATCGATGGTGATTTTAGGATGGAACTTGCAAGCAGGGTTCCTTTTATGATGTTTGATAGAAGTGGCGACCAGAGGGATTTATGATTATAACCGTGAAAGCGATGAAATTCACGAAATGAATTGATCCGGACTGATGATGTCCGTCATTAATGTCAATCGCAGGGAGTGCAAACACATATCAGAGATACCGATATTAACCTTTCTCACACTTCGTCACTTCCGGTTTCGTCTACAGCTGGTCGTTGTCAGGGGAGTGGCCACTTTCAAATTGGTCCACTGCTAGTACGCATTCTATATTTGTCGGTCAAAATTCAACGGTAGGGGCCGACCATTTGATATTCCCCGAACATTCTTGAAAAAAATAATTATGCTTCATATTGTGGGGGAAAAAACGAAAAAGTCTGCTACAAAAATACAAAAAAAATTGTTTTGAAAAAAAAAATACTTTAGCTCAGATATATATCTGGTTTTGGATCTGCAGGTAAAACAATATTAAT